CCCGTTACAACACATTACTGGGTGAAAGAGGTGATAATTGAGGGACAGAATCTATAAAAAAAATTCTCAAGAATCACTGAGGCAGGTCAGAAAAAAACTGACAAACATTTTGCTTAGATCTTTGATACTTAAGTTAAGAAATCTTGATCCACAGCTAATCTTGCTAGGATGGGACATCAATAGTGGTCAAAAACTTGTATATTGTGTGAATAAAATGTGCATTTGTGGGGAGATCAATGGATGAAAAAATCAGTAGTAAAACAATTTAATATTCAAACTAGTAGGAAAGCATCACTATATAAGATCTGTTGAGTTCACATAATAATTATTATAGTACTGAAACAACTGTAATAATTTTTGAGTAGCAATATAGAGAGTTATAATTCGTTTCCATCAGAAGAAATGATTGAGCTCAATTGAGTGTTGTTGCCTGCCTCTTGTTATTAAATAAAGGCTATCAAATTCAAAACTGATGTCAATGGAACCCCCCAAATCAAACATCAGCAGACATTTTACTTAACTCCATGTCCAGCGTTGCTTCCATTTTGGTGTTTGTTGTGGAGTATCCTAGGGGTAAGCGAGTCAAAGGACGTACAACAGAACGCAAGTAAGATGTCACATCGTTTTTATCTATGCATTATCTACACAAAAATACTTATGCCCAGTACATTTTATCATTTCTATTTTTCAGATTCCAGAAACCTTTTACAACACTGGTGAATTGCAGTGGGTTTCTTGGCAGAAACTATTTCGTTAGATTCCTATTCCATCTTATGTGAGTTCCTCTAGTATTTCTTATCAATATCATATTAATGTAGATTGTGTTGGTCAAAATAAAGGAATTCCTTTTCTCTGTAAATCAACTCATCTGTTTCAGATTATGTGCTCCGTTGTGTTTTATCCTTGCGACAATTATGGGTGGACTGAGTCTGTTTGTCACCAGCATGATATATCTAGCAGTAAGTACAAGTACCAGTTTATCCCCAGCATTATATTTAAGGTCTTCCGTCTTCATGGAAGACCTTATAGTTATTGTTTCTTATTATTTTTCCGTATATCAAATTTTGTGCATGCGATTTCTCGAAGAGTACTGGGTGGATTTTCATGAAATTTACAGGAATAATGCATTTTCACGTACGTACGCTGGCAACCTAAGTTCAATCCCCCTTCTGTCCAAAAATATTTATCACTTTTTCAACTTATTTTTACGGGTTTTTTTTCTCCAAAATTGGTTGATAGACCTCTAGTTGCTCGCAACGAGATCGTTTCTAGTTTTGTAATATTATTCTTCATATTTCCTATTCATAATACGATACAAGTATTTTTTCCTCTATACTCCCACAAATTCCCTGTATGTAAATGTAAGTCTGCTTCTAACCCTTTTCCTGGTTTCCTTGTTTCTTCTCCAACTTTTCATTTTATAAGCATATTATGCAACTCTGATTTCCTCTCATGCCTACGTAAAATTTGAACAAAAATATCCGTATTTTAAATTTTTTCTTTTCTAGGCAGCATTTAAAGGAGAACAGTGGAAACCAGTTGGTCTGGAGGAGAAACCAGCGGAAGATTTAACCAAAAAAGATCTCAAATCATTCCGTCAGCCCAAGAAGCCCCCTCCCAGAGCCCCACCCCAGGAGGTACACGACAACCGGGTCTGAACCATGAGTGCCACCCCAGGGGATACATGGCAACGGATCCCTGAGGTCTATCCCAGGGGATAAATGACAGTTGTGTCTGAACATAAAAAGACTTCTTACCAAATGAGATTATGTACCATATTTTGCTTGAGAATATCTTCCTATTTATAACCAGAACAAATTTTAAATACATTGACTCCTGTGCCATATCAAATCATACCAAACACAGTATAATTGTGTTTCTCTCCCATTATTTCAGTGCATCCCACTTCTCTTAAGAGCTATAAAGCCTCTCTCTTTTATTAGCTCTTCTGAGCCAAAGGCTCAAAGAGCTAATGCTATGGCCATTTGTGCGGTGTGCGGTGTGCGTTAACTTTTTAGAATATGGGCCATAACTCAAGAACCCCTTGGCCAATCAGTGTCAAATTTGTCACAGGGTATCCTTGGCCCAAGGGCTACTATTTATACCAAAATAAGGGTTGGGACCCTAAAACAAGGGGAGATAATCAGGAAAACAAAACCAAAAGTACTGGTTGCTAAAAAATCTTCTTCTCCAGAACCACCAGGCAGATTTTCACCAAACTTACATACAAGGATCAGGATATGTTGAAGATTAAAAATTGTTCAAGGCATGACCCTGGGGCAAAGGGCGTGGTCTCAAGGTCACTTCAAAGTTGACCTAAATTTACAATTAATAAAAATGTGTATATTTTGCTTACTATGAGGACTAGGATCATCAAATCTTGTAAGTTGATGCATCTTACGACTTCACATCATGTTAACTCAAAAGTAGGTCACGGTGACCTACTTTTTAAATTTTGCGGGGATTTGTTTTCAAATTGATTTGAAGGCATATTTTGGACACATAAAGGCCTATGATCATCAAACTTTGTCAGTTGATGTATCTTGGGTCTTCGAACACTGTCAACTTAAAAGTTAGGTCACCGTGACCTACTTTTTGAACTATGTGACTTATCCTTTTAAAAACATTAAATCCCATTATTTCAGACACTGTGAGGTTTAGAAACATCAAATCTTGTACTTTGATGCATCTTGGGACTTTAAAACATATTTATGAAAAAGTAGGTCACTGTGACCTACTTTTTGAATTTTGCTGACATTTGTTTTCAAATTGTTTAAATCGCAAATTTTGATTACCTTCAGACCTACAATCATCAAACTTGGTCAGTAGATGCATCTTGGGTCTTTGAAAAATGTCGACCAAAATATAGGTCACGGTGACCTACTTTCGACATTTTATGGCTTTATTTAAGTATCTTAGATATTTATTGGCTTAGAATCATCAAACTTTGAGAGTTGATGCATATTTAGTTTTCGGAGAGTGACGACCAAAAAGTAGGTCACGGTGAACTACTTTTGACATTTTAGGCTTTATTGAAGTATCTAGAGTACTAATTGGCTTAGAATGATCAAACTTTGTGAGTTGATGCATCTTGGGTTTTCGGACAGTTATTACTAAAGTAGGTCATGGTGACCTACTTTTGACCTTTTGTGACTAAAATTAAGTATCTCTGGTACTTATTGATCTAAAATGATCAAATTTTGTCAGTTGATGCATCTTGGTTTTCAGAGATTGTCGACCAAAAATTAGGTCACAGTGACCTACTTTTGACATTTTATGGCTATATTTTAGTATCTCAGGCACTTATTGGCTAAGAATCATCAAACTTTGTCAGTTGAGGCATCTTGGGTTTTCGGAGAATGTCGACCAAAAAGTAGGTCACGGTGACCTACTTTTGAATATCTCAGGTATGTATTAGCTTAGAATCATCAAACTTGGTCAGTTGAGGCACCTTAGGTTTTCGGTGAACGTCGACTAAAAAGTAGTTCACTGTGACCTACTTTTGACATTTTATGGCAAATTTTTTTTCTGGTATTATTGGCTCGGAATTATCAAACTTTGTCAGTTGGGGCATTTTTGGGGTTTTCATTGAATGTCCAACAAGAAGTAGGTCACGGTGCCTAATTTTAATATCCGGGGTACTTAGTTTTTCCCGCTTAGTTTGGACTTTCGTAGGGCGTGGCATTCTCGAGTTACCAATTAGCTTCTAAATTTACACAGCTTCCTTTCACATATGATAGAAATGCATCATCAGTTGACATTCGGCCGCATTTCTATCATATGTATATTTCAACAGTAAGGGAACTTTTAAATTTCAGAAGCTAATTATAACTAAAAATGCCACCCCTTACTAAAGTCCCTAACGTGTAATTCTTCTACTGGCTTAGAATCTTCAAATTTTGCCAGTTTAGGCATTTTTGGTTTTTGAAAACGCGACCAAAAAGTAGGTCACCGTGATCTACTTTTGACATTTGATGGCTATATTTAATTATCTCTGGTACTAATTGGCTTAGAATCTCAAACTTTGTAAAGATGCATCTTGGGTTTAAGAGAATTTACCAAAAAGTAAAAGGTGACCTACTTTTGAATATCTCAGGTACTTATTTAATTAGAATCATCAGTCTTTGTCAATTTATGTATCTTGAGTCCCCAGAAAATTTCAATCAAAAAGGGAGGTCACTGTGACCTACTTATGGTATTTTATAATTATAATATCTTCAGTCTTAACTTGCTAAATATTATCAAACTTTGTAAGTTGATGCATTTTGGGTCTTATGATACTAATAGAGTTGGAGGCTTCTAATAGAAGTGATAGATTGTACAATTTATCAGAAGAGCGATTCAAGGCCCTTGGGCCTCTTGTTCAGATAACCATCCTATCAACGTTATTCCAAGAAATACATATCTTGAGTCCTGACACACCCTGTTTGCTCAAAGAATTTTGTTAAAAACATTTTCATTTAATCATTTAATGATTTATTTACATATACATTATGCTTCTTGACAATCACTTGATATACCTATGTATTTATTGATTGATCACATGTATTAAATCTTGAACAATAAAATCTTGAAAGATTATTTCCATTGCATGGAAGAATTTAAGCATATAAATGTGTACTTAAAATGTACATTTAGGATTTTTTTTTTTAATGTTTGTATTGCATTATTACAGGAAAGGCTTCAAAATATATGTACTTGATTTTGGTACAAAGCCTTTAATGTAGATACAGAGTAAATAATTTTTCTTACTTATGGTTACCTGGTAATACATCATCAAACTTGATAAAAATCAAGTAAATTTTATAATACATGTCTATAACTTTTCTCTTGAGCATTAACTTAATTGTAAGAGTGTAAATTACAAATCCTACTACCCGGTATATAACAACTATAATTCAAATAACCAATTCATGTATTTTCAAAAATACTGGGAACCCTTTACCTTTTTAAATGTGTCTATCTACACAGGGTCTAACCTTGTGTCCAGCACTCTGAGGGAGCAAAATGATTTTCAAATTGAAATCAAGGTTAAAGTTGGACATAAAAATCCTCTATTAAGAAACTTCTC